TCTGCTTGGACTCAGCAGTGCAGCAGTAGTGGAAATCCAACACGCCCGAACTGAGAACGAAATCCAAGATTCTCAAATAATACGCATGCCCAATGCTCAGTGTCAAAAGGCTCAGAAGACTTTCTGTAGCACCTAGTATTTCCTATATCATCTTTCAGGAAATCGAGTGTGTCGTCCACTTCCTTGTTTTCCTGCTCCTTTGGCACGAAAAAAAACGTTCCCCTCCCGGTTTTCCTTCCAATGTCACACACTCCTGGCAAACACAAATCTTCCAACTCCGCCACAAGCAGAATCTTATGTTAGTCACCCGAGAGGGTATTGGGAGGGATTTCTTGATGCCCTTCAGATTTCTCTCCGAGTCCAGCACGGCACCCCGATCGAAATAGTGGCCGCAGGTTTCCAGCAGCACACAAACCTCATCCATGAAAGAAAAAACATAAAGAAATAAATAAAGAAAGACTAGTAGCGATGCCTTTGCTATTAGTAGTTTCTTGCTACTACTAGTGCCCTTTCCTAGTAGCGATACCCTTGTTCCTATGTGGGCTGGACATGGCTGCACAAGGCCACTAGATTGCTTTCCCCACCGTCACTCAAATTAAGGTTGTCCAAGCTACTCTGTGGTGTCACTCTGTGGGTGTAACCGTCCTGGTTTGCCCTCCCTCGGTCCACACCTTCTATTCAGCTGTAAGGCCCCAAAATCGACCATCGCCAGCCACAAACACTTTGTCATCCTAAGAGAATGACCAGCTTGATCCGGAAGAAGTCCCAGGGCGCCTGCAAGTCAAGGAACATCAGCCGCGAACTGAACAAAAAGCTGAACTCTTTGCGGAAGAGATGATGGATATCCAAATAAGCCACCGCACAAACTGTGCTCTTGGCATCTTTTGGCGAATCTACCTGACATCCAGCCCGATATAGTTATCTTGTAGTCACTCAAGCCTTGACTTACACCCAGCTACCCAGCCACCGCCGACTTCCAGCACCTCAATGGGATGCTGCGCATCTGCGAGAATCTCTGGCAGCCTGAGTGCAACAGTGCAGTTGTGGTTGTTTTTCGTCCTTCAAGAAATAGATTCGGAGAAATACTGGGGGTGGGTGGTTGGGGCTGAAGGTTGACACTAATTTCTCATAATTTATCACGATTAAATTAGGTACGCTAAATAAGTTCCAGTGCACTAGTCACCAGTTGTTCTACTGGTTGTGTGGAATACGATCCTTCGGATACTCGGGCAAGACAAGAACCACTGACGTCGGAACTGCCGAAATCTGCGTTGTATGACCAAAGCCAGTTGAACTGAGGATGGGGCTGCGTGCCGTCCTCCACATCCTGCAAATAGGAAAACAAACAGCACTTGGAATAGCTTGACTAGTAGCTTGATATTTGGCTCCCGCTTAAATCTCCAAACTTCAAAATCTGCTCTTTAAACGTCGAGACTATATGACCGGTACTATGACCGGTTTGATACTGTGAGGCCATCGGACCTGTACCGACGGTCTTTCATGCGTTCGAATTATAGCTGCAGTGCACCAAATGACACGTTCCAAGCGCCAAATGGTGTTAAGGCATCTGTGACATTTTTTGACTTGTCCACTGCCACCCACGCTGGTTTCACCAAATAGCACCTTCTGCGAAGGTCGTAACTGCTGAACAACACCTTCAGAAAACCCTTCACCCTTCCACAGGATCCATCAATTCAGAATTCAGCTCGCGCCCACTGCCGCCTTGCCTGAAACGATTACGCCTCGGGAACTGGCCAGCAACACTCCAAGCTTTGAGCGTGTCATATGTCTTTGCCAACAAAAGATCTGCCTCAGCAAACGATTTGTCAGTGGCACAGGCAAGCATTTGCCGAAGAAAGTCCGAGGAGTTCGTTGCCAAACAATTGCACCCTCACAATGCACTTTCCATGTGGCATCAAGTGTACTTTGACTCGGTAGTGGGCTCGCACTTGTACACATAGCCATTGATCAGAACAGCCTTCCGAAACTCCTTTCTAAGTCCATGGAGAGAACTCATAAAATCCATGCCACGCAGCCAAGCCCTCTTGCCAAAGCGAACGGCCCAAATGCATCGCTCTTTATCACCAAAAGCATTCTGAAAGCCATGGATGATCTTCTTGGGCCACTGAAACGGGTTGAGCACATCAGCCCTATCCAACACCACCATTGGACATGGGAGGACAGGCTGGCTCAGGCGACTGCGGCTATGGCATGGATGGCAGGCCGAAGCGGCTGCCAAGCCGCATCTAAGGTGCGACAAACCAAGTGAGGCGGTGTCACACCATCAGCGCAGGGACTCCAGCAACCATCTATCAATTGAAGTGGCCAGTTGAGGCGCAAACGGTGGAATTGGAACACGAGTACAGCAGGAAGAGAATAAACTTGAGAATAGCCAGGGGCGAAAATGCGCCGGACAAAGGTGATATTTTTGGTGGCCTGAGCAAACTAGAATCATATGAAAGGGGAGGCAAAGAAATTGTTGAGAGATAATTCAACAGTGAGGTGAGGTGAAGCAAGAACAAACATGATAAATTGCCACAAAACTGGAAAAAACCGGCTGACACCTGGCCAAACATGTCAAGCGAGTATGAATTGACACTGAATGACATGACACGAGGATCGTGCATTACACCAAATGGATATATTTATACAGTATACATCTGAGAAATGAGATGATGTGGGGAATTATATAAGTGGAGTATGCACAGGGCAAATGTACATTACGTTGCATAAACTATACCAGCTACTAAACCATGCAATGGGATCTCAAAAATGTGTCAAACGCCCAATGATGTGAGATGAGCTCCTGGTAGTAAGGCCAGGAGCCCCTAGTAGCGTCCTTGCTCCTAGCAGTAAGGCCAAGAGCCCCTAGTAGCGTCCTTGCTCCTAGTAGTAAGGCCAGGAAGCGTCCTTGGCCAGGAGCCCCTAGTAGCGTCC